TCAGGTGGGCACAGTGGAACTTTTGGGGAATGAAGAAATTGTTTGAAAACAAAACTGTTGTAATGGTTGCACACTTGTATAAATTTACTAAAACACACCAAATTGTATAGTTCCAAAGAATGAATTTTATAGTATGCAAATTATACCCAAAAATGTATTTATGAAGAATTTAGAGGGGGAAACAAAAATATTCATTGTAGCTATGAATATGTAGCTAGGGGTCACATATGGTTTTTATTTGCTTCTGTATTGAATACTTTGTCTAGTTTTCTTATTTCATATAATGAAAATACTTTTCATATTAAAAATTTTTCCTATAGATGTGTTAAAAAAGGAATTTTTTTGCTTCAGAAATAATTTTGAGCAAAAGTAGAAATTCAGTAAATTTTTTACTGATTTTTTAAAAATATCAAGCAAAAGGAATAAGTTTACAATCACTTACATTTCATATTCTGCTTATTTTCTATAATTTGTTTTTTTTTCCTGTCTAGTGTATGTCTGTATTCTATCAAGAAGCAAAAACCTTGTTGAAATCCTACTTACAACAACACGACTATGGCTCCTGGATTGTGAAGTCTCCTTGTATAGAGCAATTTAGTATGTGAATTAGGCAATTCCTTGCCATATTAAAAAAATCCTGTACTTTTTGGTGTGTTTGACTAGTAAAAATGCTTTAAAAATATTTATGGTTTTCAACTTTTAAAATCAAGGTCTTATAAACAGCAATGTCCATGAATATGCCAATTTACAAAATATTAAGGGTTTAAAATTTTTTTAATTTTGGAAAAAGAATTACCTGATTCAATATGTAGTGTTTTGTATTTATTTTAATAGTCATTTTAAGACCATTACATTTTTCTTTTCTTCTTTTTTTGAATATAAAATACATTTTCTTATAAAATTTTAAATGGAGAGCTCTCCAGGCATCTAAGCTATCTAATGTTTTGTAACTGGCATCTCAAGTGTTGTTTTAATTAAAACTTTGAAACTCAAGCATACAAATAATAAATCTTATTCATTGTCAACTATTTCAACAGATTTGAGTGCCTAATTTTTGAGCACGTGAATTTTGCCAAGGAGCCCTTGTAGTATAGTAAGCCCCATAGTGAGCAGATAACCACAAGGTCAACAGTTCAAACCCACCAGTTGCTTCTTGGGAAAAAGATTAAGCTGTCTGTTCCTGAAGGACTTTAAAGTCTCAGAAACCTAAAGTGGCAGTTCTTTTCTGTTCCCTAAGGCCCCTAAGAGTCGTAGTCTACTCAGTAACAGTGAGTTTGGTGTTGTATATTGCCAGTCAGTATGCAGGGGATAATAAAAAGATAGCAACCAAAACTTATGGCCGAGGAGTTCTTGAATGAAAACTACATGTAAATGCAGGGAAAAAATGTTAACCATATTAGAGAATAATTTGATAATTCAGTTATTTTGATTAATAGAGGATTGTATGTGCAAGGGTCCTGGTAGTACATGTGGTTAAGTGTTAGGCTGCTGACCCATAAAGGCCAATGGTTTAAACACACTGTATGAGAGAGATAAGGCCCTCTACTTCCATAAAGGTGTACAGCTTCC